CGGCGAGGTGGAGGGGGCCTCCGCCAGACTTCCTGTGGTTCTCCTGGAGACCCCCCCCTGATCCCCCCGAGGGCTTGGGGAGGCCTTCCGGAGGCTTCCCTTGGTTTCCACAGGGTGTGGCGAGAGGCTTCCCACGGCCCCTGGGAGCACCAGGCGAGGCTTCCCCCAGGCTTCCGGGACGACCAGGGGAGGTCTCTGGGAGGCTTCCCCTGGTTCACCTGGAAGCCTCCGATGAGAGTTCCCGCAGGGGGGAGGTCTCCTGTGGGAGGCTTTCGGGAGGGCCAGGGGGAGCTTCCAGGAGACCTCACCTGGTCCTCCAAGTTCCCCCCTGCGCCCCGGGAGGACCAGGGGAGGTTTCCAGGGGGCCTCCCCCGGTCTCCCCGGAAGTTTCCCCTTGGAGGGAGCCCTGCCAGATTTCGAGGTCTGGGGGAGGCTCCCGGACCCTGGTCCTCGGGGAGGATTCCCAGCGGGCTTGCGAGGACCAGAAAAAGCTTCTGGGAGACCTCCCGGCCCCCTTCTGGAAGTTTGCGGGAGGCCCCCAAGAGGGCCAGGGGAGGTCCCCCGGCGGTCTCCCCCCAGATTCCAGGAGGTCGTCAGGACACCGCTAGGAGGCTTACTCTTCGGGGCCCTGAGGCCAGTGGATCACCGGATGCAGTGCAGCTACGGTGGCGACGGCAGCAGAGTCGCGTTCAGCCTCGGCGAAACATTTGCCGCGCGTTTCCAAGCTGGGTGGCTGGTTGGGGGCCTCCGACGGCCACGCCGGGACGTTTGAACTTTTGGGTCTTTCCGCTCCAAGAAAACATGGTGGACGTAAGGAAACTTCTGGTTCCTTAATAAATGCCCCCCGGGGGGCCTCGATGGTCCCAAAGTGCGAGACATCTGTCGATCCACCAAATTTAATAAGGAATTCCCGGGGTCCCAAGTAAGGTCCTTACTTGGGTGCCTGGCGGTCCCAGAATTCAGGGCCTTACTTGGGTCCTCGGCGGTCACAGGTCCCACAGGTTCCACAGGTCCCACGTGTCCCAGATGTCCCACAGGTCCCATAGGTCCCACGGGTCCCGCAGGTCTCGAAGGTCTCGCCGGTCCCGCAGGTCCCGCAGGTCCCGCAGGTCCCACAGGCCGCACAGGTGCCACAGGTGCCACAGGTCCCGGAGGTCCCGCAGGTCCCGCAGGTCCCACAGGTCCCACAGGTCCTTCAGGCCCAACAGATCCCACCGGTCCCAAGGTCTTGCAGGTGTCACAGGTCCCGCAGGTCCCACAGGTCCCACAGGTCCTACAGGTCTTACAGGTCCCACAGGACCCACAAGTCGCAAAGAAGGTGCCAAAGGTCCCACAGGTCTCGCAGGTCCTACAGGTCCCACACGTCCCACAGGTCCCAAGGGTCCCACAGGCCTCGCGGGCCCCACAGGTCCCACAGGCCCCACAGGTCCCACATGTTTCACATGTCCCATAGGTTCCACAGGTTCCGCAGGTCCCGCGTGTCGCGCAGGTCTCGCAGGTCCCGCAGGCCCCGCAGGCCCCGCAGGTCCCGCAGGTCCCACTGGGTCCCACAGGTCCCACAGGTCCTACAGGTCCCACAAGCCCCACAGGTCCTGCAGGCCCCACAGGATCCACAGGGTCCGTAGGTCCCACAGATCTCGCAGGTCGCGCAGGACCCGCCAGTCCCGCATACTCCATGGGCCCCGCAGGCCCCGCAGGTCCCACAGGTCCCACATGCAGGTCCCGCGCGTCCCACCGGTTCCGCAGGCCCCACGGGTCTTACAGGTTTTAAAGGTCTCGCAGGTCCCGCATGTCCCGCAATTCCCACAGGTCCCGTAGGTCCCAGAGGACCCATAGGTCCAACAGGTCCCACAGGACCCGCAGGTCCCGCAGGTCCGCAGGTGCCACAGGTCCCACAGGTATGAATGACCCCACAGGTTTCACAGGTTCTCGCAGGTCCAACGGTCGCACATGTCCCGCAGGTCCCGCAGCTCTCACAGGTCCCACTGGTTCCGCAGGTCTCCCAGGTCCCTCAGGTCCCACAGGTCCCACAGGCCCCCCGGGTCCCACAGGTCCCGCAGGTCCGACAGGTCCCGCCGCCAGCACAGGTCCCACGAGTCCCACAAGTCCCGCAGGTCGCGCAGGTCCCACAAATCCCGCAGGCCCAGCATATCCCACATGTCCCACAAGTCCCACATGCCCCACATGTCCCACAAGTCCTACAAGTCCCGCGAGCCCGCAGGCCTCGTAGGTCTGGCAAGTCCCGCAGGCCCCGCAAGTCCCAGTCCCCCCAGGTCCCACATGCCCCGAAGGCCCCACAGGTCCCACAGGCCCGACAGGGCTTACAGGTCCTACAAGGGCCACGGGGTCCGCAGGTCCCGCAGGTTCCGCAGGACCCGCAGGTCCCACAGGTTTCGCAGGTCGCGCAGGTCCCGCATGTCCCACACGTCCCACAGGCGACGCATGCCCCACAGGCCCCTCAGGCCCTACAGGTCCCACAGGCCCCACAGGTCCACCCAGCCCCTCCGGTCCCACAGGTCCCACAGGTCCCACATGTCGCGCCGGTCCCGCAGGCCCCGCAAGTTCCGCAGGTCCCACGGGGCCTACAGGTGCCACAGGCGCCACAGGTCCCACTGGTATCGCAGGTCCTGCAGGTCCCACAGGTCCTACGAGTCCCTCAGGTCCTACAGGTCCGACAGGTCAGGCAGGTGTCGCAGGTGGCGCAAGCCCCGCAGGTCCCACAGGTCCCACAGGTCTCGCAGGGACGACAAGTGTTGCAATTTCGAAGGCCCCACAGGTCCCACCAGGCCCACGCGTCCCACAGGTCCCAAGGGTCCCACAGGTCTCGCAGGTCCCTCAGGTCCCACAGCTACCGCAGCCCGCACAGCTCCCACAAGTTCCACAGGGCTCACGCTCCCAACATTTCTCCCAATTCCGGCAGGTTCCACAGGTCCCGCAGGTCCCACAGGTCACCTTTGGTGTTATTAAGATGGTTCCTGGGGTGATGTTTGCAAGGCGAAGGCGCGTGTAATTGCATGCGCTGCGCGCAGTGCAGAGTGAACCGTGAGTGCAAGTGCGAAACGCTGCCATGTAAATTTGGGATTGCGCCCGTCCTGGAATATTTTTGTGAACTTGCGGTTGCGGTGGCTTCCAGCGAGGCTGGTGGATTTTCCCATGCGCCTCGTCTGGCAGTGCGTCGGCTACTTCAGGATGCCACGCGTACTGCAGGCCTACGGCTGCTGGAGCAGGGAGGTCGTGGCCAGCAGTAGCATCCTGGCGGGGTGCACCCACGGCGCGGCGTTGCTGACCGTCCTCCTGTTCAAAGCCGTGACGCGGCTAAGGGGCATCGCAGACCAGGTGACGCCCAGGGCCCTCATGGACGATCTCATCATGCAGTGGGTGGGCGACGCGATCGCAGGAGGCACGCTGCAGCTGCACCGCGCCGTTGCGGAGTTCATCAAGGACGTGCGGCCGCTTGGCATGCACATCAAGAGGGCCAAGTCCGGCTGGCTTGGCACGACGACGGCGGTGCAGAAGGACTTCCGCGCGTCGGCGGCGGCGCCTCAGCTGCCCGAGAGGCGGAGTGTCCGGGACCTCGGGCACGACACGCACGGACGCGGAGTGCGGCGTCCCGTCGCGCAGGCGAGGATGGATAGCCTGGCGGCCAGGAAGCAGCGCATCGACACGCTGTTCCGCGGCGCTGGCGTGCGGGCGCAGGCACTGTGGCGCACAGGGCTGCTGCCTTCGGCGGCCCACGGCGCCGCAGTCGGAGGCATCGCGGATGCCCACCTCGGCTCGCTGAGGCATCGAGCAGCGCTGCTGTGCAGCGGGCGCGGGGGCATCGGAGCGGACTCCATCACGGTGCACCTGGCGACCCAGACAGACCAGTACATGGACCCGATGTACGAGGCGACTTTGGCGCCGGTCTGCCGCTACAGCGCGGCGGTGTGGGGCGGCCACCTTGCCCTGGCGCGCCTCCAGCAGGCGTGGGCGGTGCTCCAACAGCGGTGGCGCGAGTGCAAGCCGACCTGGCACGGGATCCGCGGACCCATCGCCGCCGCCTGGATGAGCCTGCGCTCGAGCTTGGTCCTCGTGGACGACGAAGGCCGAGCGGTGGAGCTCCTCAGGACCCACCCCAAGGAGGTGGCCGCGCTTCTGCGCGAAGGAGTGCGGCGTTGGCAGGGACGCCAAATCCTGCAGCACCATCGGGAGGTCCCCCCGCCACCTGGCGCCAGGATCTGGATGCGAGCTGTTCGCCGCGCGCTGGCCCCCCCTGCGGCCAAGCTGCGCGGCGCGCGCGCAGGGCACCTGCGCAGGCAGTGGGCAGGAGCGTCTTGGGATCTGGCCAAGAGGAAGGCGCTCCACTACGTGGCCAGTGCGAGGCGCCCGTTCTGCCCCGACCAGGAGGCCACGGGCGCGCGAGGCCACTGGTTCTACGAGTGCCAGCGCGTCGCCGCCATGGGTTCGGACGAGCAGGGCCCCATGCACGAGATGACCGAGCAGATGGCCAAGACCAAGCAGCGGATGAAAGACCGCTGCCACCTGGGCGTAGCCGACGCGGACTACGACAGGTTCGACCTCGTCGTCGGGATCCCGATGGTGCCGTACGACGTGCCGGCGCCTTCGGCGGTGCGTGCGATCCGCTATTGGGGGGACTGGTCGTCCCCGATCAACGGCAGGACGACGATCACCTACTCCGACGGCTCGGGGTTCGACTCGGCGATTCCCGAGATCACCAGGTGTGGCTGGGCGATCGTGCAGCTCGGCAGCCAGGGCCTCCCCGTGCGCGCCGCGTATGGGACCCTCCCAGGCGCCCGACAAACGGTTGGGCGAGCGGAGCGATGGGCTTTCCTGCAGACGATGCGGCTCCTGCCGACCACGAGGCTCCTCATCGCGGACCTGGCGGGCCTGGCGAAGGAGGTGAATGATTGGTACGCCGAGCTCGCCGGCGCGGCGGGCCAGTGCGCAGACATCTGGCGCCAGATCTTCGATGCTGCGGCGGACCAGGGCGGCCTGCCCAGGCCTGCTGCGACGTGGTGCCCCGCGCACCTCGAGTTCGAGGAGTTCGTCCAGTGCGCCGACCTGGACCCCATGGACTACCTCGGCAATGCGTGGGCCGACTGGTTTGCCAAGGTGGGGGCGCTGGAGCACAAGCTGCCCGACGCCTTGGCGGACCTGTTCAGGGTGCGCCTCGCGGACGCGCGCGAGGAGGCCGCGGTGTTGGCGCGGCGCCAGGCGGCCCTTGGCGCCCTCGCCGAGGACGCCCGCGCGCTGGTGCAGCGAGCGCACCGCCCGGCGGCGCCCGTGGCCCCCGCCGTGCTGGGCCACCGCCGCCAGCTCCAGCGCGGCCCTGCAGGCTGGCGGTGCACGGAGTGCCTCGCGACCGCCACCGCAGAGGCGGCGAGGCGGCGGCTGGAGAGCTCGAGCTGCGAGCCGTCGGCCCTGCAGGGAATGATGGCGCGCGCCCATGCACGCCTCGCCGCCTCCTCCTCCCATTCCGCTTCGGTTGCTGCTGCTGCGGCCCCGCTGCCCAGCGCCCGAGAGGATGCGATCGCGATCGCCACGAGGGCGGCCGATCGCGTCCTCGGCCCGGTGATTGGCCATCCTGGGCCCGTGGCCGCCAGAACCTGGATTCCGGTGCGCCCTGCGGAGCGCGAGGGGCGATCCCGTTCCCCGAGGCGGGGGGCCGTGGTGGCCCCCAAAGGTGTCTTGGCCCGCGTGGAGGAGGATGGCCATCCCGCCGCGAGACCCTGGATTCCTGTCGGCACGGTCGGAGAGGGAGCCGACGACGTTCTTGGGGTCGGCCTTCGGCTTCTTGGAAGGAGCGGCACAGGTCAGCCGACCGCCTGTGCTGGTCCGTCGGGGTCCGAGGGACCCGAGCAAGCCCCTGAGGGGCCCACTGTGTCTAGTGGGCAGGGGCATGCACCTCCCAACGGAGCCAAAGGGCCCGAGAATTGTGGGAGGGCTCCCAGTGGGCTTGTTACTGGACTTAGTAACGGGGAGCCCCCCCATAGGGTAGCAGCGAGCCCCTCGGTGGTGCCCAATAGCGGCTCACCCCCTGAGCTTCGGTATGAGCTCATTAGAGGCCACCATATGGCGTATGATGGGGCCCTTCGTATTCTGTCTCAACTGCGGCGGATCTGCATCCAGCCGCCAGTCCCCAATGCTGATGGCCCCATGCAGAGGGCCAGTCACCTGGGAGACGAGCCGAACGCGTGCTGCAGCCCTCAGAAACCTGAGGGCTGGACGGCACCCGCGCACGGGGGTCCCCCTAAGCGGCGTCGTCCCCAGCGCCTAGTGCACCGTCTACCCCCAGGCACTCTAGTTTACTTTTCATCCTGGTTTAGTTTGCTGCAGTGGCCCTGTGGAGCCCCGCGTCCTCCTCCTCCTCCTCCTCCTCCTCCTCCTCCTCCTCCTCCTCCTCCTCCTCCTCCCCCTCCTCGGGTGAGGACTATGGGGGGGGGGGGGTGGACATCATGGCGGGGGCCATGATATTTCCCGAGATTTCATGGCGCCTCTTCTTGCTTCATTACGTCCCTGGCCCCCCCGCTGGGCCGCGCACCCCCCCCTCTTGGACACCCCCCTCTTGGCCGATCCCGAGGGGAGGGGTGGCGGCAGCGCCAGTTCCGTGATTTGTTCATAGCCGCTGCCAAGGGGGGCCCATATTCGGGGACCTCGTCAGGCGATGGATCCGGATGCATTCGGGCCCCTTCGGGGCCGGGGTGTATCCACACCCACCGCCCGCTGGTGTCCCCGGGCGTCGGATCCCCTGGCGGTGGATGTGGACGACATCCCGCCTCGCAGTGATGGGGGACTGCGTGGCGGCGAAGTGCTATCCCAATGACAACGTGCCCACGTTTTGAATGGCACGCGAGCAGATTGGAGCGAACAGTTTTGAAATTATTGTTGTTGAACATTATTTATTCTAAAGAATAATTATTGTTGGGCCCCCTGGTGCGCGCCCCCCCTGCGCCGCCTAGGCCGCAGCTACATTTTCATCACTTTCGTGAGGAAGCCTCAGAAAAGAGGGTGTGTACAGGATCCGGTTGTTTTGTTGTAATCCGCTTTCCCTTGCAAAAAACAATAGAAAATGACATTTCTTGTTCTAATATAATCAAATTTCAAGAATCCCTTGCAAAAAATAAGGTAAAGTGGACATTCGCGCGCGCAAGACGAAATCCTTCCAAAACCTTAGTGTTCGCAGCGATTTTAACATAAAAACATCAAAAAACCAATGGTTTTTCAACAAAAAATTGTCAAAATCTCATCCCGCGCGCTCTTGCGGATTCGTAGGAAACCCAACACTTTTTAAACATTTCTGTCAAACGGGCTTTTGCGAGCAACTTTTTCGAACTTCTGCGACAACGGTTGCGCACCTGCCAGGGCCATCATCCCTGTCAAATAATACCATGCGGGACACATTCGTTTTTTCTTCGCGCGCGCACGCCGTCGTCGTCGGCCGCGGGGCCTTGAATAGTAGCCACGGTCGTCCGCATGCCACGAAGTGAAGTGTCCGAACGTCATAGGGCGGGAAGCTGGGTGTGGGTGGTGGCGAAGAGTCGTTTGGAAATTTGGTAGAGCTTGAACCGGCCCCCCCACAAAGTGGGGGTATTGCCCGCCTCCTATGAAAACCCTGGCACTGGTGAGAACGGAGTGTCCCCACGTGCTAGTAATTCTTGCTGTTGTTGTTGATGTTGTTGTTGTTGTTGATATTATTGTTGTTGTTGTCTTTGTTGATTTGTGTTGCTATTGCTGTTGTGCGCTACTGAAGAACAATCATTGTTGATCTCCCCCCTCTCGGGCACATTGTTTTTTTGATTGAAGTGCCTTTCCAAGTGTTCCCACCCTGTTTTTTTTATGGAATGTATTGGGTCTCAGAATTATGTCTTTGGCCTTCGGTTTGCAACAACAACGGCTTCCGCCAGATACTTCCTCACAATTTATTCCACATCTCGTTTTTTGTGCGCGGGACTTCCTTACACATTATACAGGAATCGCCACCTGTCCTCTCTTCCCCTGCCTTTTGGGCTGCGCGAAATACGCGCATAATACCGCTAAGGGGGTACGATCGATGACCGAGAGTTTCGGATATACGTGTTGAATGGCACGCGAGTGGATAGGAGCGAACCGTGCTAACATGATCGTTGTTGTTGCTGCTGTTGTTGTTGCTGTTGTCGTCGTTTTTGTTGTTGTCATCATCATTGTTGTTGTTTTGGCTCTTACCGTCATCGTTGGTGTTGTTGTTGTTGCTGTTGCTGTTGCTGTTGCTGTGGTTGTCGTCGTCGTCGTCGTTGTTGTTGTTGTTGGTGGTGGTGGTGATGGTGGTGGTGGTGTTGTTGTAGTTGTAGTTGTAGTTGTAGTTGTTGTTGTTGTTGTTGTTGTTGTTGTTGTTGTTGTTGTTGTGGTTGTTGCTGTTGTTGCTGTTGTTGCTGCTGCTGCTGTTGTCGTTGTTGTTGTTGCTGCTGCTGTTGTTGAGTATTCATTGCCAACGGATAATTATCGCTGATCTGCGGAAGCGGTTCCGCGCGCTCTCGCCTCGACGCCGGCTACATTTTCTCTGAAAACGAGGCTCCCGCGCGAGCTTGGCTTGAGTGTAAATGTGGGCCCATGGAGGCCCAGCTACAACGACAACGGCTCCCGCTCGATACTTCCACACTTTACCCCGAGACACGCTGGCCAGAGAGGCCCTCGAAGTCAGGAGCGGCGCTCTCGCTCGAGACCTCCTTGCAATTCAGTCAATTTGGTGGATGCCCAGCCACGACGAGAAGGGCTCCTGCCAGATATTTCCTCACGATTTTCTCCGAGAACCCCTGGCCAGGAAGGCCCCCGAACACAGGAATGGCGCTCTCGCCTGAGATTATCTCGTGATTCAGTCAAACTGGTGGAGGCCCAACTACGACGACAAGGGCTCTCGTTCGATACTTCCTCAAGATGTATTCGCAAAGGCCATTGCCAGAGAGGCCCCCAAACTTCAGAGTGGTTCTCTCGCTCGAGAGTTTCCCGTAAGTCAGGCAATCTGGTGGATGCCCAGACACGGCGGCACTGGTTCCTGTTCGCTTTCTCTCCATCTGCATTCTGAGAGCCTTTGGCCAGAGAGGTCCCCGAATTGAGGAACGGCGCTCTCGCTTGGGAGTTCCTCGCACTTCAGTCAGTGGCCGGCAAGGAAGACATTCCCGCTGACAGGGGGTACAATCGAAGACGAAGTGGGCGGGTTTCGAGGGTTGCGGTATACAGAATGCAAGGCACGCGTGCCAGTAAGAGCGAGCAGTCTTGACATGATTGTTGTTGTCGTTGTGGTCATTGTTGTTGCTGTTGTTGTCGTCGTCGTCCTTGTTGGTGCTGTTGTTGTTGCTGCTGCTGTCGTCGTTGTTGTTGTTGCTGCTGATGTTGTTGTTGTTGGTGGTGTTGTTGTTGTTGTCATTGTTGTTGTTATGGTTGTTGTTGTTGTTGCTGTTGTTGGTGTTGCTGTTGTTGGTGTTGATGTTGATGTTAGTGTTGTTGTTGGTGGTGTTGATGTGGTTGTTGTTGTTGTTGGTGTTGTCTTCGTTGTTGTTGCTGTTGTTGTCAGGGCTGGTGTTGTTGTTGTTGTTGTTGACGTTGACGTTGCTGTTGTTGTTGCGTTGTTGTTGTTGGTGTTGGTGTTGCTGTTGTTGTTGTTGCTGGCGTTGTTGTTGTTGTTGGTGGTGGTGGTGGTGTTGTTGCTGCTGCTGCTGTTGTTGTTGCTGCTGCTGTTGTTGTTGTTGTTGTCATCATCATTGTTGTTGATTTGGCCCTTACCGCCATCGTTGGTGATGTTGTTGTTGTTGCTGTTGCCGTTGCCGTTGCCGTTGTTGGTGGTGTTGCTGTGGTTGTTGTTGGTGTTGTTGTCGTCGTCGTTGTTGCTGTTGTTGTCAGGGCTGGTGCTGTTGTTGTTGTTGTTGTTGTTGGCATTGACGTTGTTGTTGTTGTTGTTGCGTTGCTGGTGTTGCTGCTGTTGTTGTTGTTGGTGTTGCTGCTGTTGTTGTTGCTGGCGTTGTTGTTG